ATAAACTACTGCCCTACTCTCAACTGAATGGAATTGGTCACACTCAGGAGGAAGCCTCTATGGTCCACCACTCCAGCTGCGAGGAACTGGTAAGTGGTAAGGACTCCTGTACTCCACTGGAAGAGGGGAGAACAATGCATTGGAGAGTCCAGAGAAATGCAACACCAAAATAGTGCAATTGGTGACCATAAAAACCCTATTTTGAAAAGCAGGCCAGTCCCAGTTTATTCAACTAGGACTGGAGGGATGGGCAGCAATCTCAACATTGCTTTACTCATGATATTCCATGAGTTGGTACATTCTGATGTGGGCCTTAGTTATGAATCAAGATATTGCAAGGCAACTTTTAGCAGGCTTGTGGAACATCCCATCTATTCAGTGAGCATTATAGACCTGTAAAGTCATATGGTACAGAGTTAAAGTTAAGTATATCCAGACAGGCACCACTCACCACAGAATGGGATCCAGATATTTAGAAATAGGCCACTATAAAGGTAAGATACATAAAATGAGAACTCATCCATTCAGAGTCATTAAGAGGTATGTAGAATGGTGACAGAAGGAAGTCAATATCCAGAAGAAGAAGAAGAGATGGCCAGAACATGAAGAAAAATGTGCAACAAAATTAAGTTGGATAGTCCACACGCCAGTTTTCACGAGCCCCTCCAAAGGATGACAGAAGTGAAAAGCCAGTGAGAGAGAAAGTTGTTGGATTTGGTGAGAGGAGACTTGTAAGAGTCAATGTATCTACATTCAATGAAGCATAGGTGAAATGGATAAGGTGCTGTAGCCAGCCCTCGAGAGTAATAGGAGAAACATCTCGGGGTGATGTTGAATTCCAAAGAATAAATAGTTGGGAGCATTAACCATGAAAAGAAGAGGAGCAGGTCAAAGAACAATGAATCACAAGGATGGGACAGAGAAAATGACTCAGAACAGAACAAGAATAATATGGAGAAATGGAAGAAAAAATATGGTAAGCAGCAATGACATACACATCATATCTCCCATGGCCACTGGCAGAAAGTAAGAAGTAGGAACTACATTAAAAATGGTACAAGAAACAAGAGACTAAGGGTCAAGTAGAGAAAGGGTAAGGGCATGGAGAACAGTATTCAGGTCCCAATCAGGAAGGACTGCATAACGAGGAGGACGAAGAAGGCAAAAAGCATAGAAAGGACAGAGGAGAAGAATACACGACAATATATATAAGAAAACCATAAATAATTATGTGGAGCTACCCAGTAACTAGCCATGGCCAAAAGCGGTAAGCCTCCATCACATAGCCAACAAATGAATTTGTAAAGATGTGGAACAGAAGAAATGGAATAAAACATGATGCAGAGACTAACTACAGAATGTGTACCCTTGTCATGGATAGACAAGGAGGGAAAAAAGAATGCACTGAACAAGAAAGAAGGAAGGCTGCATGTAAAGGTGCTGGAACATTTCACAAAATACTGGACAAACTCCACAAATGAAGTCGGAGTGATGACACATCTGAATGAGAGAGGGAGGAATTAGGCTGCAGGAGTAGGTAGAGTGACAGAGGTAGAGGAATAGGAGAGAACAAGAGAAGATGCAATACAGGAAATCACAGCTGAGCCAGTCAATACGTAATTATCAAGAGGTCTCAACATGGAGTGTCTAGCGTGAGGGAAAACATGAAAGAGAAAGCAAGTAGGAGGGTAGGCATGGAGAAAAAAAAATTGGATTAATCCTGATAGGGAAGAAGAACAGGGGACCACAAAATGGGAAGTAGGTACTGAGAAGAGTGGTAAAACATCAAGAAGAATTAATTTGAACACCAGAGAGACAAGGAACCAGTCTGTACGTAGGATCCTGGTGGGCCTCAAGAGATGATCCATGACAAGTCTCAGGGTACCCCGGAATAGAGGTACTTGTATGGAATGGGTCCAAAAAAGGAGCTTGATAATGTGGAAACTGGGAGAATCAAACAAAGCATCCTGATGATTGATAAAAGAGACAACTGCAGAGTTGACTGTATGTATCATCACGAGACGTCTATGAACCATCCTAAAAAAATCCAAGGGAGGCATCTGGAAAGAGAAGGAGACCCAAGGAAGAGGAATAACCACTATGGGAGTAGTTTTATCAAGTCACCAGGTGAAGTCTTTAAGTAAAAAAGAAGGAAGGAGAATGGCTTGCCAAAATATTATTTTAAAGGTTATGGTTTAAATGCTTCTTATTTTGAAACTGCAATGAACAAAATGAGAAGAATATGGGAAAACAAAACATCAGTAGTTAATGTGATTTTTATTACTAATATTAGTCTTGTTTGTTTCTAATGTTTCACCAGAAGTGAACATTTAAACCATAACTTAACATAAGTATTAGATCACCTGTATATAAATAGCATTTCAGATAATCTTTTGCTTTTTTTGTTTGTTATTAACCGCAAAACTACATAATGGGTTATCTGTTCTGTGCCCACCACGGGTATCAAAACCTGGTTTTCAGTGTTGTAAAACTTCAAATTTACAGCTGAACCACTGGGGGAGAATCTTTAGCATCTCATCATTCAATAAAACTGACTAATTCTGATATAAAATGAAAGGCCTCTTGACTAATGACTTGTGAGAGACAAAAGATACATCTGAAATGCTATTTTTACAAACCTCTCATTTTGAATCTTCAGTGGAGAAATCAAGAGAAATGTGAAAAGAAAAAAACATCTGCAGTTAGCATGATTTTTACCACAAATATTAATATTGAAAAGACAAAGTTATGTTGAGTAGTTCAATGAACACCTTTCTTGAAAGGCAATTATTTCACTTTTCTAATAAATATTAAATGTATTTGAAAAATTTTCAAACACAAAACATATAAAAAATCAGATTCCACTAGACTTTTATGAACTTCGGAATCACCATATGGTTTTAAGAAACTGGTTTAATGTCACCATGAGATATCTCAGAGCTTTGTGTTGACCTATTGCTTTTTTTTTATTTAAATTAATGACATATATAAAAGAATGGTAAATAAATTCCTTAAATTTGCTGATGATGGTAAAATATTTGGTGTTGCTAGCTGTGAGGAGGATGTTGTTGCTTTACACAAAGATTTAGATCATTTGGTAAGTTAGACAAATAACTGGCAGATGCCTTTTAATTATAATAAATGCAAGGTAAATTACGTGGGTTATCGTAATTTAAAATAATAGTATAATTTTGATAGAAATAACCTTAAAAGTGTTAAGGAAAAAAGAATACAGGTGTTTTGGTTGATCAGTCACTTAAGTCATCCAAGCAGTGTGCTGTTGTTCGTGGTAGGGCAAAAAGGATTTTACATTGGCTGTATCTTCAGAAATATTGATTATAAGTCTAAAGAAGTTATAATTTTATTGCATAGGTCATTGGATAGGCTTTATTTGGAGTATTGTGTTCAGTCTTGATCTTCTTATTGTAACCCTTTGAGTACATAATTAAATTTCAAGTGGGTTCTCAAAAAGTGTCAATTATCCACTAACAAATGAAAATTAGAATGTGACATTTTTTTAGTATTTCTTCAATATCAAAATTCACTAGTTGTGCTTTTGCTCGATGGTGTATGCACGTGCAGTACTAAAGCGTGAAGTTCAAAGACGCGAGTATCCCGATTGTCGCACTATGAGGAAAGGTTTTTGTGACACCGTGGGGTAAATCACACCAAACGGCTACAAATGCCAAGTCGCATAAATCTGATTATAGCATCTAAAGGGTTAAAACATTAGTACATTGAATTGTTCAGAGGAGAGCTACAAGAATAATACCTGGGATTTGTCATAAAAATCTCTGAATTTATTTTCTCTTGAAAAAAAATAAAAAAGAGAGGAGATCTGATTAACTAGTTTAAGATTGTTATAGGAACTGACAGTGTTGAAGTATCATCTTTTTTTTGTATATATTGTGAGAACAGTAGGACAAGGGGCACAAATAAAAATTTTAGCAGGGTAAGAGTCATCTCCAGCTTAGACAATTTTACTTTCTTGACAAAGTGGTTAGCCTTTGGAATGGATTGTCTTCATATATGGTTAATGCTGTATATTTAAGAGAGTTTAAAGGAAGGCTTGATAAATATTTAAATAATCAAGGCTGGATTTGAGTTTTTAAACTTGGATGGGACAACCTCAATGGACCATCAGGTCTCTGGTTGTTCTTTAACTGTTATGTTAACAAAACTTTTAGTGCATTACTTATGTGTAAGTTATTTTCATCTAATTGAAAGTAAAATCTACATATTAATTATTTATACAACCTTAGAAATTAGCTGGGATGGAAAAAATACAATAATTTAATGAACTATCACTGTCTAATGACAATGAATGTTATTCAATATTTATGTTAACTAGTTTCAATTTTATATTAATGAGTAGCTCTTATCTTCTCTCAAAGAAGTATGAAACAATACATGCAAGTGAATCATATTTCCAATTCTTGCACATCGACGAATTTCAAATTCAGATGTTCCCAATCAACCCTTTCACTGCTCAGATGGGGTGCAAAAAAAATCAAAAACTTTTGACCCTATGAAATCATAGTATATCATACAAATGTAAAGAATAAACAACAAAAAAATCATATATTGACCTCTTTGTAGGCCTGATGGTATGCTGATGATGAGGGAGCAGGTGGTCAATTCGGGTTCAGGACAACCCTTACCGACCATTAAATAAGATAAGATAGCAAGGAGGACTTGTTTTTTCAGATATGGTATTTCACTCCTTTCTTATCTCAAACACTGGCATAGTGTTGGTAGTGAATAACAAGACTATAATGTACAACCAAATGTCAACAGGGATTCCAAACTAAAATATCATATGATGTGTGGAACAGTGAAAGGGATAAAAGTATAATTTCATCATACAGTTTGGATTTTATAGTTCTTTATAAAAGTGTTGCCAAAGATAATTTGCCTTGCAGGTAAATAAAGAAAATATGTATTACCAAACACATACTTGCTACTATTGATGTGATAATAGCCTTTTCAGGTATTCTTACCTTCTTGTTTCCTAAAAAAATAAAAAACAATTATTAAACAGACAAATTTTAATAACTATAAGTACAATCAATTAGGTTAAACTATTTGGCTAAGAATAAATATTATACTGAAATGCTAACATACTTAATATTTATAATCCATTATATTACACTAAGAATAATCCACACATTCTTGTCATTCCACATAAGTAAACTACATCATGCAGTTTTATTGTAAATTTGAAAATAAAATTTTGTGAGTATTAATTGATATAAAAGCAAAAGAGAAAAGAATAAAATATGAAAAAATTACCTTTCTTTAACTTGAAAGCTTTATTCAAGCTGGTTTCAGATTTCCTTCTTTCTTGATTTCGTTTCTCCAGATATTCTGGTGCTGAGTGGAGACGCTTGGAACTAGCTTTCTCATTTGGCAGAGAATCTAGATCACCAAGAAGAAATAATATCAAATGTACCATAACAAAGCAAGTTTTAAGACTATACACATTAAAAGGAAACAAATACATCTTGATACTATCTGATTTGTATATATCTACAATGTGACCTTCCAATGTATACAGGGTGTCAACTTCCCCTGGGCAAAGTAAACACATAGGTGACTGTGGTCATAGTCTTTCCCATGACGTATATTTACCAATTACTCAGCATGTAAATAAGACTTCCACAAAGTTAAGTTTTCCAACAATTTTCCACAAACAATCACAAAAACTAACAAAATGAAACATAAGATCCTGATACATAACAAAGTGACCAGCTCATAAACACCACATTCTGCCTTAGATGCTACAGTGTGCTATTCTAGTCTCTTTTTCAAAACACTTTACAGCTACATATTATAAGTTTTGTGACCACTGATAGCCTATCTCACAGTGAGGAAAAATGAAACATGTAAGTATATACATGCACTTAATAATAGTTAATCATCTTTCTCCTTGGGGAGGCAGAAAAAATTAATGTAAAATAAAAGCACCATTACAATGACAGAACTGTAAGTTAACAGTTTTACCAATCATTACCTTCTTTATTCTGGCCAAGTGCCATTACTAGTTGTCGAGCTTTAGATGGAATCACTGCATTGTAATTTTCAAGAATTACTCGTTTTAGTTCCAGACACCACTCTCGTTTTTGTTCCAAGTTACTGGCCTGAAAGAATATACTTATGAAAAATGCCAAAATATAAAATTAACATGATGAATAATGAACATTTCTGGAAAAAGAGCAAGATTGGCACCATGGAAGGGGGGTTATGGGCCCATCAAGTTTAAACCCTGTGTTCCCTATTTTCAGATTCCAGATTGATATAAAAAGATCTATGATATATACAAATCAAAAACTAAAAAAAATATAATTAAAGCTAAGCATAATAATAATAATTAGCTCAGACATACTTTAATAATAATGCCAATAATTATAAAAAAATATAGATCTCGGAAAATTACCTTCTTGTGAATGTTTTATAATAATGTGCTTCCATACGCTTTTTAATTAATGTATAGTGACTTGTAATAGAAGTGAATATGTGTTAATTGATTTCCAAAATCTGCTTCTCTAAATAAGTGGGTGTTCCCCCATAACACACACACTCCTGGTAAGATTGAAAGAAGGTCCAGCCAAATCTGAAGTATTTGCATGTTCCTTCATACAACATAGCTAAATTTCTTTCATTACTCATGAAATTAGCCCAATGTTTCTTCATTAGTTAACAGACAGGCAGCACATTTCCTGCCTTCAAGAACATTTTTCTCTTTTTAGAAAAGACATTTAATTGAATGTATACGTGACATTATTGTTACTGTAGTTTGTAACAAATAACAAAAGTGCAATTATTAGTAGCACTTACAAAATCTACAATATTACATAAGTGAGATAATATATATATTATATATAGTCAAAGATTTCATGTTTTCCAGATTTCTACATTTGAGCAGAAACCTTCATAACTACATACACACAAAATTGGCATACAAATGAAAGAAAAGGATAACAATAAATTCCCATGTGATTACAAGACAATTTACCTGGAATGTGTACTGGACACGAGGATTGTTGAATGGAATAACATGGAAGCACAATGGTTCCCCCTGGATGCTTTCTATTAACATAAGGTTTGAGCACTGCAAGATATGTAAGAAAGTATCATGTGTAATTAATTCTAGTTTCACAAGGATTCTTTGCTCATTACATTTTCTCACACCTCAGTTAGTGAAAACTTGACTTTAAAATACAGAACTGTCAACTATTTTTTGTATTTTTTTTAAAAAATGGTGCTGATTCAAAATACTGTTTTAAAAAGTTTAAGCTAAAATATAAAATACAAACCAATATGTGATCTTTATAACTTAGTTTTCCTTCCTCCTTTTGCTTTGCAATTAGCAGCATTTTATCAAAAAGAATCAAGTGACGTAATGCTTTAGCACCAAACATTCTAAACATCCCTTCTGCAGCTAGTTCCCCATATGTAGTCAAGTCTTGGCCCTGGATCAAAGACATAAAAAAAACTTTATTTCAGACAGAAATGTACAAAAACCCTCACTTTATTATCCAAAAAATACAATAAAGAAGTAGAGATGATTTTAAACCATAATTTGATAGAATTGAATATTTGATAGTTTCTAATAATATAAGCTACTATCAAACAGCATTAGCAACATATGAAGACAGCATACTTATGCAATACACCTACAACAAATCAAAAATGATAAGGCACTGATAAAAATGTCATCATTAAATTGTATTACAAACATTTTCACCTGCAACCCAACATTAAATACATATGTATAATATATTTGTACTATAGTTATGTTAATGTTATCTGAAGAGATGTAAAACAAGTAAGGTACTGTTAAAAGTATGTTGAGTTGTAAAAGTTTTCAGTTCAATACTAAGTTAAAGAGAAGCTATCTTTACTACAGCTTCTCTTAAAAATATGAAAAGCATTCAATTGAGTTGAAAGATTTAAGAGTGATTTCAGAAATAAAAAGACATGGGAAGTTATTTGTTGGATTATGGCATTGATAAGTTACATTTTTATTAAAATTTATCTTAGCTCACAGTGAATCTTCTTATTCAAATTACAAAACTGATTAAAGACAATTTTATAACACTTTGTTATTGAAGCTCTTAGGTTCAGTTATCTGTCTATATTAAGAACTTTTTTTGGTATAGCTAAGTGTTAGATTAAGTTGCACACAAATATAAGAGACAAAAGGTCCTTTCACTAATATTAAAACTTTCCACCACAAACCAGATCCCTCATGAAACCATTTCTTGATATTTCTCAACACTGCCTACTAAAAGACCAGCTATATTGTATTGAAATATAACACCACCTATCTTAAACTTAGCAATAGCTGAAATAGAATACTGGCACAGATTTGATGTTAGAAACTTTGATATCTTCAAGAATTACAAGTGCTTCCTGAAATCTTTTAATTAAGAGGTTTTCCTATTGAGATTAAGCAGATTATTATCTGACCTGTCTTTCATGAGAAAATATTATGTTGCTAAACATGAAGTACCAATAAGTTACATTTAGTTTCATAAGTAGAACATACACATGATTATAACAATCAGTTACTTGTTATTTATCTATTTCACAATACATTATTCACTTTATTAGAATAAAATCAAATCTGTAGCTTTTTCTTAACATGAAATCTCATTCAATCAAATCTTATCAACACTACATCCCTCTCACTTTTATCCACAAAATGGACCAATAGGTTCATTCTGAAGGTATTTATTCACATACAGTTTGAACCTTACTCCTGTAATACTTTTAGAAAAAATACACCAAACCTACCTCCCATTCATACAAAAGAGACTGAATCTCTTGAACTCTGACTGCATCTTCGTGCTTTCTTTTCATATCATTGATGTAGTACACTATACCTGTCATCACAGAGATGGCATTCTTGATATCAGGATAGCAATCCCCATCCCCATCCAAATGTTTTGCCAAGTTCTAAAAATATATCATATTAGGTTTTAAAGCTGATGCTTTGTTTGCATCAATTAAAAATATCTATATCATCTACAAGCACTTTGCTTTAAAATATTCAACTATCATAGTGCTTATTAATCTTTTTCTGTTGTCAAGAAACAGTCTTCTTGGTGCTCAGGTTTACATGTTAGATTTAGTGGCATGATACTTGGTTAAGTAGTAATTTATGCATTAATCATACCAGCCAACAGTAATACTCAACCAGTAATAAGTGTGATCTGTTAAAAAGGACAGAGTGGAGTGTGCACCCCCAACCTTCATACATGGATTCTCCATGCATATTACACTGGGAAAAAAAACATTTTGTAAAAAAAAACTAATTATGGATTTGCAAAAATTAATGTAATTGAAACCAAAGACCAATTGCTGTTATCTAATGTCAAACCCTAAATCCAGAAAGAATGTAACTAAAGAAAACAATGACATGCAACTATCTCAAACAAGTTGCTACAAATCACCCATAAATATGATAGTCTGACTTTAATCTTCTGCAGCAAACAAATCCCCCATGAACAGGTTATTCTAGCTTCAGTCTTCTACAGCAAACAACTATCCTACAGATTGCCCATAAACAGGATAATCAGGCTCCATCCTTCTGTAGTAAACAACTATCATACAGATCACCCATTAACATGATATTCTGGCTTCATTCTTCTGAAACAAACAACTATCCTACAAATCACCTATAAACTGGATAGTCTGGCTTCATCCTTCTGCAGCAAACAGCTATCATACAGATCACCCATAAACATGATATTCTGGCTTCATTCTTCTGCAGTAAACAATTATACTACAAATCAGCTATAAACAGGATATACTGGCTTCATTCTTCTGCAGTAAACAACTATCCTGCAGATCACCCAGAAACAGGATAAACTGGCTTCATCCTTCTGCAGCAAATGACAATCAGACAGATAAATCATAAACAGGATAAACTGGCTTCATCCTTCTGCAGCAAATGACAATCAGACAGATAAATCATAAACAGGATAAATTGGATTCAGTGTTATGCAGCAAACAACTATCCTATAGATCCTCCCACAAATAGAACAGTCTTGCTTCAGTTTTTTTTACAGCACAAAGGTGGACTTTCAAATTTAATATTTGCATTGAAGAATACTTTTAGTACAATTATATAACTGTCTGAATGATGTGTAACTAGAATGCAGTACTTAATTTAGTTAAAAGAAAAAATATTCAGTCAGCTCAGCTAGATCACTAACTTATAAGTTACATGACACTTTTCTGGAAATTACATTATGGGCAACACTAACGGGTATATGAAATCTTATCGTGGCCAATAACAAGTGATTATTCCAACCAGAAATCTTCATCTTGACTTCAATGTTCAGTCTTATACTAGTTCTATCCTTAATTCCTTTGGCCAAAAACTTCTAATGAAGTTTGTCTTATATAACAAACTTAGCTAGTCTGATCCAGACTATGAAATTTAATTCGTTCTTAAATTTTAAGAATGGAAAAATTTTATAATAGGTTTTTTGAAATATTGAAGAAATATTTTGACATTCTCAATATATGTTAACAATACTTGATGTACCCTGAACATTTTCATTGAGATTTATTTTTAACTCCTACAATTTGTATTCGTTATTTTATAAATCCAAGGTTGTAAATCCTAATTTTACTAATGGCACAACCAACCTTCTTTTCTTGCTAGCATCTTTATGACCTGTGATACAAGACTTAAGATTGAATTAGTTGGTGATAATCCACACTAACATCATAAATAGTGCCAGTGACTAATCACACTATATCATTCTAGCTTTTCAACTTTCAATTACATTAAAAAAAAAACAGTTATTCCTTTTACTTAACACACCTGCAGATGTATATAAGCTCCCAGCATGAAGCCTGGAGAGTTGTTCAGTAAGCACATAAGTTAAGGTTCAATGTCTTTTATCAACAACAAGCTATTTTAGTGGGTTTAGTGGTGTACATCTCAGCTATTAATATTCCTGTGAATATTCAGAAGGATGACTCATGCTTTCTCTGGCGCCACACTGCTACATACAAATTACGTTTCACAACTTAAATACTGTACTATACTAAAATGTATAAGAATAACTAGCAGTTTTTTTCTCAGACATATATTAAAGTTAATTAGATATAATTCACAATAAAATAAATCTCACAACATTCCTTGCAGCAATATTACTCCACTCAAAGCCTGAAAGTATAATTCCTGAGTAACGTGAATATACATATAACTTAAAAACAGATTGAACCACGATCTCTATCAATAAAACTTAACACTTAGAAGATATAAAACTCAAATCATTCCACTAAAGCCTCTGCCACTTAACCAGTTTAGTTATACGAACAGTAATTCCACTAAAGTCTATACCACTTAACCAGTTTAGTTATAAGAACAGTAATTCCTAATTCCACTAAAGTCTATACCACTTAACCAGTTTAGTTATAAAAACAGTAATTCCTAATTCCACTAAAGTCACCACTTAATCAGTTTATTAACAAATGAGATACTGACCCACACATATAATTATTTGCTTAAATGATTTGTTTACTAATATATTTTATTGATGCCTATAACAAATTTAATACATAATTTTAGTGAAAACTACACTTACAGTTAACAATAGCTGATACTTTGTTATCCTTTGGACTGGTTTTAATAAGTATGAGCCTAAAGGTAAACGGTGGTGCAGAACCAGTTGTCTATCCTAGATATTTTTGAGAAAGAGAGAGAGATAGTTTAAATATAAAAGTCTGAACAAAACTAATTACACTTAGAAAATTATGACTCAGATTCACAATTTTAACTAAAAACCATATGCAAAATAATGAGTTGTTACTCTACTTTCAATTGGTTAAACTGAAAAGTATTATATAAAGTAACATGTAACATAATGACCTTCATCTCATTTACTGGAATGTAGAAACTTCTATCAAACATTTCAAGATACAAAGCAATTAAAGCTGCTTCAGGAACAGAGAAAAAGATATTCATATTAACAATGTGACCTTAAACTTTGACCTATTTAATAACCTCATACATATGACATTTACTTGTTTAACAATCTGTCAAATGTAAAACATGTTTCCTAAAAAGGCACGAGTTAGTGATACATTTCTCGATATTATGTTCTGATTTTCAAACTCAGGAAGTTATTCAAAATTTTATTAGTTCTTTTTAAAACCATGTGATCTGGTTTTATAACAATTTCAAGTACAAAAATTTTCAACATTACATTTAGATGGAATAAATTTTTATAGAGTTTTAAAAGTGTGTAAGTATGCCAAAAATGTAATACAGCTTTCATTTAATAAAATTAGCACATACATGCAAGAGTATATTAGATTAATAATAAGAAAATAATATTAAATGAACTGAAAGTTGTTTAACAATTCAAAGATCTGACCCATATAAACTATTATTGGGTAAGAAGACTTTAATAAAAGTTAGACCTACTTTGTAAGTGTTTTTAAATCATTATGTTCTTCTGGCTTATTTATAGGATAAAATACTTTCCATACTTCTCTGAGTAACAAGTCAGAGAACACAGTAGGTTAACAAATGTAAACATCATAAAAACTAGAAATATTAAACAGAAATATCCCAGCTTTTACAATTAATCATTTATAATACTGCCATATAATACTAAAAAATACTGCTCAGTAAAAACCTTTGTGAATACAATCTCATTAAGTCATAAAAATAACCATGCACCTTACCCTGAAAATTTCAGCTGTTTTAGAGTTCTGCATAAGTTTAGTTAACACTTCTACTGACCTATAAAAAAAAATACTTTCAGTACATGTAAGCGTTTTTTGCTCACTGCACAATAGATCAACACAATAAGCTTTAGATATCACTTTTAAATTCTATTACTTACATTGTTTCCATAGATTACTTTTAAAATCGTATTTAATGTGCACTCTGAAACATTAAATAAATAACTGAGAAGTGAAATAAGTATATAGTGTTCAAGAGATGTCTAAAAACTTCTTTTAGAACAAATTTAGCATATGCATTGTTTACGTAAAACATTAATCATTATTATATTTAAAATCTCACAGGATACATATTCATATGAAAACTGATATAAACTTACCTGAACTCAAACAAGATTTTAGTTAATTTGTTAAATATTAATATAAACTTACCTAAACTGAAACATTACATTTTAGTTAGCTTGTTACATATGAGCTCACCTGGGATAATTTGTACAATACTGAGTATAGATAGAAAAGCCTTCTCTGTTTCTGACAAAACATTGTGCAACTGCCACAGAATCTAAGCCACAGGCTTCTAACTCTTCAAGAAAAGCACTAAGAAGAAACAACCTTTGTAAGAAACATGTATTAGTTTCTAAAAAATAAAACCAATATAGTTTTTAAAATAAGTTACTTTTTAACTTGTGAAATCATGGTAAAACTTTTCACTCTATACATCTTGTTCAATATTTTAAATGTTTTAATAGTTTGTAAATTACATTTATTCATGTTACTGAGAATTTTCTGTGAGGCTCAATCAATGCTTTGTTTTTCAATTCACTGTAAACAATGAAATATATTTTTCTAAGCTGTTGGAATCTCATGAGATATTAACTTTATGGCCACCAGGCCCTCTCAGAGGTTCAGAGAGGCCCTATCCACTTCTATGTTTTGAGGACCCTGGCTAATAAAAAATGATAATACATAAAAACAAAATAAGACAATCATTAGCCCAAAAGAAAAGGGAATCATAATTTGAAGATTATTTATTTAACATATATTTATTAATATTATTTAACAAGCCACGAAACTTAACAAATGCAAAAAAATAACAAGTCTAAAGTTGAGGCCCCCTTCGAGCTTGAGATCAGAGCCAAATGGCCCTCCTGTCCCCCTCTAATTGGCGTAATGGCCACAAATACTTTTAACTGAGTACCTTATAGTTGTTTCAATGTATTTCGATCATCTTAGGCTGTATCATAAAACTAACTATACACTTTGTAATTTTATGAAAACTGGCCACTTATATAATCCAAGAAGAGTTGTAACTTCACCTAACTTAGGCTTATTTATTTGTTAATTTCTTTTCCTTGCCAAAGCGTGAATGTCAGTGAGAAAAAGATAAACGGAGAAACCCACCACACTCTGTTGTTCGTTACTTCTGATGCAACAAACTAGTTTCGCTGAACTGACAGCTCATCAGTGTTGCTTGGAAGAGGAAAGCAAATAAACAATGAAGCCCTTATATAATGGTTGAATGTGATCAGTTTGTTTGGTTTGATCTACCTCTAATAATTTAAAATATTTTAAGTGTTTGGATAACATGTAACATACCGTTACAATTAATTATTCGTTTATTTTCAGCGAATTGAGCGGTTATTTATTTGTGAATTTTGTCTTTAACAAAACGCAAATTTAAGTGAATAAAAGATGACACATAAGCCTAATCTATTGTTTTATTCGCTATTTCCGCTAAATAAAAAATGGATAATTGATTATGACGGTATTTCATATTGTTACGTCTCCGTTTGTTAATTGATTTTCCGTAACTTCGTTCCGACGAAACTTAAGCGACACAAGTCCTTTCTTAATAAAACTAGTTTATTCTTTCCGAATAGAACTTTACGATACACTTAATTTCAATATTCGCGCTAAAACAAACACTATAACGAACGAACGTTAACTTCAACAATACCCTGTGACTGCAGTTAAATTACTCACTACCTAAACACACATTAAATTATTCTCCCGTCACGTTGTCACCCTCTTTTATATACCAGACTACCCTATCTAGTAAATGCTAGGGTATTCGTGAAGGAACAAGATAGTTCTAGAAACTAGAGGGCGTGAGAATAGTCACGTGATCTCGATGACGCAACACTGCCCCCTCCTTAGTATTGTTCGTCCCG